TTTTTTTTTTTAAGTACATTTAAAGACAAAAATTTCAAAAACAAAAACATCCCAAAAAGTCAATTTTCAAAAAAGTTATGGTTATTTAACAAAAAAAAAGCTGTTTTTTTGTAATAACTTGTAACTTTTTTTTGGTTGGGTAAAAAAATTTGAAAAAATTCTGAAAATTGTTTTCAATAGGGTAGAGAAAGATACCAAAATTTCAGAAAAATCGAAAAGGGTCGGTGTCAAAAGTGGTCAATTTGGCATGGAATACCCCATATAATTTAAAGACTTCTGCCCAGTGGCATTTTTTTCAGTAGACTCTCTACTTTTAAGAGAAAAATAAGTATTTGGTCTAAACTCATATAGGCCTTAGCTGACAGCCTCTAACTAACGAACTGTTTTGATTAAATTCTACCCATTTGTAAAACACTAGTATATGTACAGTGTTTGAAGTTGAGGATCGTCCAGCAGCTAATGTCTTCTATTGGGGTATACTTTTGTAGAATCTATGCAATTTTTTATTGATTGCTTCTATTAAGTAAAGTTATAGCCATCTGAAACCAATCAAATTTTAAAAAATCGCAGTTTACAGATGGCTAGAACTTTTTTCTCGGAACTTCAATTTCCTTCAAACTTTCAGGAAAGTTGCTTTATTATGTTCCTAAAAAGCCCTGAAAATTTGGGCTAGGGAATCGAGCTTGTATTATGAATTTTTTAATATTGCCAAAATTGCGTTGTTGAATATAATATTTGCTGATAATTTCTTGTATATCTATCGAATTATTCATATCTTACTGACAAGTGAAATATTAATATACTCAGTACATAGATATAACTACTGTCAGTAATGATTTGAGTAGCGTCTCAAGTAGACATTTACCCTCAAAAGCGCTATCGTTCTTATATTACAATTATTGAAAAATCAGTGAAAAATCGACTTTTTTAAAAATTCAAAAAATTCTCCAGTGGTCGAATTTGATTATATCGGGTCCAAATTTTCAGGATCGTCTTCTTTTGAGGAAAAAATCGGCATCAAAATCGCTGACCTGAGTGCGCACACTTTAATAATAAATCTTGATTTAGAAATGATTTGTTGTGAAATATAATAAACATTCATCTTCGCAACTGTATAACTCAAAAGCTGTTGGTCGGGGGGGATTTACTCAGAGGAACTTTTTGTAGCAAATTTTATGCTCTACAAAAGCTATACATGCGTTTTTTCCAAAAAAATTTTTTTCACGTCGAAAAATCAAGTTGAAACCGGAAAAAAAATTTTTTCTTAGGATCATTTTTAAGAAATTTTACTCTTGCAGTCGTTTTGTCTACCCGGGAAAAAATCTGCATGCATGACCATGCTTAACCGAGCATGAATCAAGCATAATCATGCATAAGCATGCATGAATCATGAATGATCTTGCCTGGTCAAGCATGATTCATGCAAGGTCATACTCAATCATACATTTAAATACTGGGTGATCATAAACAATCCTGCGTGACCTTGCATGATCCATATACAGTCATGCTCGAGAATGCACGACTGTATACAATCAAACTGAAAGGTCGTGCATGAGCTTGTATAATAAAGCATGTGCATGTAAGAAACTACATATTCATGCTTGACCAAGTCTAATCATGCACGATAACTTCCAACGCAGCTAAAACTATCATGCATGACTATGCATGGTCTTGAATAGACATGTACAATTATTCTTCGCCAAGCTTAACCATACATGACCACCTGTGAGTGGCCAGAATGATCAAGCACGAGCCTGCTTGACCGTGCGTGACTTTGTATGATCAATCATGATTGGACTTCACCAAGCTGGGCCGTGTACTTTTAGTTTTTACATTGCTTCGCATGATCATGTAAGGGCTTACATGATTTTCCATGATTTTGCATTATCATACATTAGTCATACATGGACTATCAATATCAATATCAATATTTTTTAAATAAATCTTAAAGTTTCTGATAGGAAAGTGAATTTATCGAAAAATGATATGAGACCTTTTTTGTAGAGCATTTTATTTCCTTTCAGAAACTGTAAGATTTTTTTCAAAAATATTAATATTTCTATGAGTTACAAAATTCTAAAATTGAAAAATGAAATTGTGAAAATAGACCGACGTTCAAGACTTTTATTAAATGTGTCTTATTAAAAAATTGATATAAATAATCATTTTAACAATTTATCTGATAAGTATTTTTTAAAAGTAGCCTTGAATACTTAAATAAAGTTAGCCTTGAAATTGTTTTGCATGCGTTTTTTATATTGTGAACAAATTATTTGATTTTATTTAAGTTTGCAGGGTTCGATTTATTCTCAACTACGAGCTAACATAGTCGGTCAAAAGTGTCCCTGAATATATGCTAGACATGGAATACAACATGATTATGATTGATTAGTTATGATCATGCTTGGTCATACATGATCACGCATGAGTATTTGTCAAACATGTAAATAAGCATGATCAAGACTGATTAATTATGATGATGCTTGATCATGCATGATCAGTCATGAATATTTGCCAGGCATGGAAAAGCATGATCATGACTGATTAGTTCTGATGATGCTTGGTCATGCATGATCTGTCATGAATATTTCCCGGGAGAAAATGATCAGACCTGACCATGAGTTAATCTAAATCATCTTATCAACAGTTTTTTTTTGTTTTTGAAAAATCAATGACTTTTTTTCGGTGGTGTTAACAAATTTAAAAAACATTCATGCAAGCATTTTAAGTTAAATTTTATAAAATATGAAAATTTAGTGAGATGAAAAGAGCTGGTGCTCAAAATTTGTCAATTTTCTGTAAAAAATTCTATTCCCTTTATTTTGTAGCGCATACATATATATGAATCATTATAACAGAATTATCTTCTGCTTTTGAATCCGACCTTTTTTGATTTGGCTGAATTTTTTTTTACCTTACAAAAAATATTTTACAAAATTTTTTCAATTATTTTTACCCGCATCCAAAAGAATAAGAGTTTTTTAAAAAAGATTTTTTTTTCTTTTTAGATACTTGAAATTTTTTCATTAATTTTTAAGATAATTATCTTTAAAAAAAACTTCTAAAAAGTTGAAGTGAGTCAAAATCGACTGTATTAACAACAGAATATGAATGATTAAAAATTAAAGAATTTCAGCTGAATAGAGACGGATTGGGTTCAAAAGTGGTCGACTTAGTGTAAAATGTCTTATATACATGTATATTTTTGGTATTTCAATGTTCAAGTGTATATAATTTAATGTATTTATAATTACGTTGTAAATAAATTTCACATTTTTATTAAAAAATTAAAAAAAAACATAAGCTAAGGAAAGCAGCTACAATTATTTAAAAATAAAAAATAGTACAAAAAATAATAAAATGCATCAACATAGCTCGTTGATATTAATTACGGCGTCATTCGGTAGCACGTTACCTGACCAAGATTTGGCAAGTTAGGAGTGGTAGTACTCGGTGAAGTCATTTGATTGTTCGTTGCACCTGTATTTTGCGACTGTGCCACGGCAGTACTGTGAGTTCCTAATGTGCGGTCTTGTTCCCTTAAATGATTAACTAATGCTCCAATATGCTCCAACAGCTCTTTATTCTGAATAAGAAGCTGATGAGTTCGTGTCTAAACAAAAAATTTAAAGTTAAAATTGTTAATCGATTTCATTAGACTTGTTAATGAAAATTTTAATGATGATATACTTGAGCTTCGACTCGTGCTGTTGTTTCAGCTGCTAACTGATCCTGTAACAACCGTGCATGCGCCACAGCAGCTCGCGTTTGTTGACTTTGCTGATCAAGACGTTCTTGGAGAAGTTGTATTTCATGTTTGAGAGAAGTCAATTCATTACTACTTGATATTAATAAATCTCCACAATCAGAAGCTACTGTTCCCTGCGAGATAAAAAAAATTATTATACAATGTCTAGACGGCCAAATGAAAAAACCTCCCAGAACCTAGACAATACTATTCTATTCTATAATGATTAGAGAAGCGTAAAGATACTGACGATTTTTTTTTTCGATTTGCCTGTAAAAATGCGTTAAATTATGTTTCACGAGCCCTCTCGATCTTAAACAATGAAAAATTTTTAAATTTCACGTAAAAGTTCTGATCATTTTCAGAATCATTAAAAATTTAATTTTTGTTATTTGTAATCTTTTTTCTCGTTATCCTTTTTCTAATTTCAAAATTGTAAAAATTTCAAATTGATATTTTGAGTTTGAGATGTTGCTCAAGTTTTTTTTAACTTTCAGAGTGACTAAAATTTAAGATCTCTTTAAATTTATTACAATAAACAATAAAAATTTCAAAAGAATGAAAAAAATTGCATAGTAGTCAATTTGGTGTGTGGGATGCTGGATAAAATAATTGTCAATTAAAATTTAGTATTAATAATTGCCTTTTTGTTTTTAGTGTACATCTCGAGCTCTGTTTCTATTTTTTAGCATAGTAACGAATTCAATTAAAATATCAAATTTAAATTTTCAAAATACATATTATTTCTAGTTGGAAATTTATAAAATGTTAAAATGATAAAAATATTGCATTCAATTTTTTATGTTTTTAAAATCTCTAGTGACCCTTAAAAATTCTCTAATCGAGCTGAAAGATAATATAGGAACACATTTTTATTGATCACTCAAAAAGAACTAGCTGATTTTTTGTGCCACCTTATTAGTGATTTATACACTGCTAAAAAAAAAATGGTAATTTTTTACAAAAATGTTTGAGAAGCAAATTTCCACTACAGTATTTTTGTTTTTCAATACTTTATCTAGCAATTTATTTACAAAAAAAATTTTGTTTTTTTATAAGCAACAAGCGTAATAATGAGAAACAAACGTTTTGTAATTTTACAAACTTTAGATTGTAAAATTATAATACATTTTTCAGAATTCATCATCGGATTTCATTTGTTGAAATTGTACCACAAATGTTTTTAAAATTACATAAAAAAATTATTTTATTTTTATTTCATGTAGCTAAAATTAAAAACCCAAGATCTATTATATTTAAAAAAAAAAGTTATAAAAAAGTATAATCGTATCTTGAATATTTCATTTACGAACATTAAAATAAAAAATCAAGGTTAACAATAAATAATGGATGAAAATTGAAAATTTTTATTTTATTGATTACTAGGGAGTATTTAATTATGCCTAAAATTATTTCAACAGAAAAAAACGGTTTTATCTATCTATACTAATATTATAAAGAGGAAAGATTTGATTGTTTGTTTGCATTGAATAGGTTCCGAAACTACTGAATTGATTTGAAAAATTCTTTCACTGTTGGGAAGCTACACTATCCCCGGGTGATATAGGCTATATTACATTATCATTAATTTTGGAATTTTTTTAAATACCCGTGCAAAGCTGGGGCGAACTGCTAGTATATATAAGATTGTTTATAATAAAAAAAATATAGCAAATGAAATTAGAATGTTTGTGAATTTCGAAAACCTTTCATTGAAAATTCATCAACGGTTCAGTAAAATTACAAAGTACCATGTAATTTCCTAATCAAAGTTGCATAAAATTATAAAAAAATATTTGTAAATTTTTAATCATTTTATAGTAATTTGCCCGTGTAAAAAAAAATCGTCTTAAAATTATCGTTCATTTAAGATCTTAAACGTGACACAAACTAAGACTATTTTAAGGCACTTTTAAGATGTCAAAAAAAAAAATTCCGAGATTTTTTAATAATTATTTTGATTTTTTTAAGACTATTTTGAGAGTTTTTCAAGACGATTTTAAGATTTTTTTAAGACTATTTTAAGATTTAAGTTTTAAAATAATTTTTAAATAATCTTGAAAAATCTTGAAATAGTCTTAAAAAAATATTAAAAACTTTTTAGGCTATTTTCAGATGACATCACAGTGACAGCTCCGGAAAATTATTATGGAGCGTCTTTAAATTGTCTTAAAATTATCTTAAATTAGTCTTAAAAAAATCTTAAAAAAAAATTTAGACTATTTTAAGATGGGCTAACAGCGACAGAGCCCCGGAACATTAAAACGGAACGTCTTAAAAAAGTCTTAAAATTGTCAGATAAGAATTTTTTAACAATTTTAAATTCAATTTAAAAACATCTTACTCAAAAATATTGCGGTGAGAAAGTCGTAAAATCGTCTAAAATTAATTTTCACAACAAATTCGAGAACAAAATTTTCAAAAATCTGCTCTCGGAATTCTTCTTTTGGTGTCTTAAAAGAGTCTTAAAATAGTCTTAGTTTGTGTCACGTTTAAGATCTTAAACGAACGACAATTTTAAGACGATTTTGTTTAACACGGGTGAGTTTCAATATTTTTTTATAAAAATTTAAAACAATATGATTAGAAATTTTAAAATCTATTTTTTAATTTCATCAATAATGTTGTAAGTTTATCTTACTCGAATTCAATTTGTTTTACAAAACGTAAATGGTAATAATACCAGTGTACGCTTTGAAATTCAATACATTTTTGTTGAGTAATTTGTAAGAATTTTTCTAATTTTCTGAAATATTGTATTGTAAAATATTTGTGACACAATGTTCTTAAAAATATCATACAAATTTTTAATATTACCCATTTTTTTCCAAGTTTAACTATGACTTAAATTTTTTCTACAAAATAGAGATGGTATTAATAGCTCATCAGGTTTTCAATTTTAACGTAATATTACTGTATAATCGCAGAAATATGTTGTTAATAATATGATAAACTGATTTTTTAAGCATATCTACACAAAAATTAATAAATTTAGTGAATATTTTTAAACTTGTAAGATGACATCATAATATTACTATGAATAGATTAAATATTTGTGTCGTAAACTGAATTTGGAATTTTATTCTATGCTTGTGTACTAAAATCTTAATAAAATTATAATTTTTTTTAACAGTGATACAAAAAAAAAAAGGAACGTTCATGACTTGTTTGATAAAATTTACTATCACGACATGTTTTTTTGTTATTAAGTTATCTAGAATTTAGTAAAGTTATTTTTCAGTGTAACAAAGAAAGTAAACTATCAGGAATTGAAAATAAAATTTACCGATGGCGATTGTCTCATCGGCGATGCAGAAGATCCGTGCGTTCTTACTCCACAAGGTGCAACATCAGGTGGATGATCTTGCACTAAATTTTCTCCATCACACACTAGTGATATGTCTTTGTGTATACTTGGTGATGGTATTCGTGGTTGAATTATTGGAGACCGTTCATTCGTCATCTCATCATCATAATTATCATTATGAAGTGGATGATCGTCATCGTGTTCGAGTGTATGCTCTCGTTCTTTGTCAATATCTTGATCTCTTTGTTCAGACGTTGCATTCAGGCTTAATTTATGGCACACTTCAAAAGCTTGACCCACTGTCCTAACTACTCTCATGGCTTGACTCTAAACAAAAAAAATTGGTTTAATTTATTAAATTACCAAAATAAAAGAGAAACAATATGATTCCTTTAAAGCTAAACAATCGAATAGTTTTAATGATACACTTTTCTTTCATCAAAGTTCATGATACACTCGTCTTACCTCAAGCTCTTCATAATTATCATCTTCATCAAACGGTTTTTCATTCCAAGAAGTCTGTGACATTGCGTCATTTGGTGAATTCATTTGTGTGCTTTTTGTTTTGTTTGATGATTTTTTAATATTCAAAGATCCGAAAGATTCGGGTTCTTTGAATGACAATTTTTTTCGCGGTCTGGAACTACCAGGTGTGTCGGGTTCTGGTTTACCATGATCTGAACTTTCGCTTAAGTTCTTGCCTATACTTGCTGATAAATCTGGTGAAATTACGAGTTTGCCCACACTTCTAAGCATTTTCTATGTAACTTTAACTTGAGAAAAATGTTTACTTAAACGAAAGCTCTATATACTTCATCAGTATTGAGTATGTTTATAAATAATGTCGACTATTTTTAGAGAACTAAAATAATATTTAAATCGATTAGAAGTAATTTTACATTTATTCACTGATTAAATGATCAAACTTAACCAACAACAACTATAATTTTGAATTGAACAGAATGAAAAGGAAAAGGGAGTTGAAATTTATTCTTCGAATGAAATTTTTATTTTAATAGCTCAACAGATTTGGTTGAATAATTTTACTTATAAACTCCTAACACGAGCACATAAATATAAATATCACATCTTATTTCTTACTTCCTATCGTCAGGCTGACGGTGAATAATTTTTGCGGTTGTCGGAGTTAGCTAACGCAAGAACTGTGGGATTCATCACTAACAGAGTTTAAAAACGTCATTTGAATAATCGAAATATACATAAAAGCCAAACTTATATTCAACAGATCGAAAGCGCTTTATTAATAAGTGCCAGAAACTGTACAACTCCGTTCTTCTTTCTCTATTTCTTCAGAACAGAGAAGAGCATAAATATTCAGATAACCATTTCGGTAAATATAAGCAACTCATCTTGCCAGCGCCGTAAACCTGGTCCTACACGAAAATTGTTCGTCAACTGCAGCTTCTCCTGTTAGACGTTTCATTTATTTATAGTTTTGTTATAACGTCAGCAATCGGAGATTACAAATTTCATATATTTAATTTTTTTGATATGAAATTATGATACGATTTATTTCGCTAATTTTTTTTACAAATATTCATGTATTGTATTCACAAAGTTGTACAAAAAATATTTTTCCAAAGATTAATTTCTAGAATAATAAAATTTGATTGCTTTGAGCAAAGAAAGTCTTACCTTTTTACTAGATTTAAAGACGTTGCACTTGAACGAGTTGCTATTACTATCTCGAGCTATGTAACTGAATATTTTTAGATCATGGCTGTCGTGGGAGACATAAAATATTCTGAAAAAAAAAGTTGCGATTTAATAAACTAATGAAAAATTAATTATAAAACAGTTTTTCGAAAGTTTTTCATGAAGTTCATACTTTATTTCTTGAAATACCTGTATATTGGATAATGCATTTGAAATGCTTTGTTTTCATCAATCCATTGTTGTTTCTTCTAAAAAAAATACAATAGTCATTAATATGTATCCATTTATTAAAAATGATATATTTATTTATTTAAAAATTTTGATTACTTTTTTTTTACGAAGCGTTACTTTGAGACCATCAACAGAAACTTCTAATGTAACTTTTTTTTTCTTTATTCCTTTTGCTTTGAATTCGTACTAAGAAAAAAAATGTGAATAGAGAATGAATATTTTACTTTTCTTTAATTTTATTTGATATTAGAAACATACTCGAATTCGTCGCATCGCTGCTACGATCTCTACTCGGCTGGTTGGCCTTGGTACTTCTATAGATCCGATAAACTATAAAATTACAATAAAAGGTTTAATATAGAGAAAAATTAGTCACAGCGTCAAAAAAGGAAATATCGATTGAAAACAAAGGCTTTGTACTAAGTACGCTTTAACGATATTTAATTTCCATTGTATTCGATTATTCCCTTTGTTTTATAAAATTTTTATTGTTGAAATATTTGATTGATGATTCTGTAAGAATTAAATCATAAAAAAAAGAAAAGTCTAAAAAATTTGCAAAAATCGTAAAAAAGAGTAAAAGATAAAATTCAAAAAAAAAACATATTACTTGACGTCACAACGTAATACAGTATGTACAGAAACGAGATATACCAGATAATAGTATACGTACAAGCGAGATATACGAGATAATAGTAAAGAAATATTAAACAGAAATATCTCAGCATCATCGTCAACGACCTCATTGTTAAACTGAAATGTTTTTTTGAAGCGAATATTATGAGTTGTAATAAATTTCTTTTTTAGACTTTGATTGTCTATTAATATAATTGTAAATCATATTAAATTAAGGAACACAGCAATTGATAATTTTATTTATTTATTATAGAAGTCACGTTAAAAAGTTTAGCAAGATTTTTTTTTTATAGATACTACATGATACTGAAATTAGAAGACATCTGACCATTTCGAAGGTTTTATAATGCAACTACATAAAGAAACAATTCTTTGTTCAAGAATAAATTTTCGTGAATCAAGAAAATTCCTTCTTGTTCCGAAAAAACTTTGTTTTTTAAAAGTTAAAAGTTTTTACTGAAAAATTAATGATCAACTATGAATGCGTTACTAAAATAAATATAAAATCAAAGAACAATTAGAACAATAGTTGTTCAACAAAATACAATTAATAAACATTGTTCTTGAACAACCATTAATTTTTTATAAACCATTTTTTACGTCATCTCAAAAATTATAATTTTTTAGATATGAGGTTCCGTAAGAAAATGCAACGATTTTTGCATCTCTTTTAACAAATAAATTTGTATAAAAGAAAATTTTCTTAAAATTTATTTTATATACCTTGGCATGGAAAACAATACCACGATGAAAAGCTTCCTCGCTGTGCAAAGGAATCCTCGTGTCGTATTCATCATTTCGCACAAGATTGTACTGCTTTTTAGAGGGCATGCTTAGCCCTAAATTATTAAATTAATAATCGGTAAGGCAGCTAAAAAAAACCCTTTTTATTTTTTTATTCTAATCGAATTTAAACATTTTTTGTTAAAAGCTTAATAATTAAAAATTTTTTACAGGATAGTTTTGAAATGGAAAATATAGAAGGCAATTAAATCTAACACCAATTTTAGTTATTTACTGTAAGAAAAGATTTATTCTGTCACAAGAATTTATAAGAATAAAAATATTGGGTATGAGTGAACATAAGATATTTACGTAAATATAAGAGGTAAAAATTTAAACAAAATATACACGACTATGGTTAAAACTTATTACATTTTAATTTTACAGACTAAAGGAGAAAATTTTAAATTTTAATGTATCAATTATAAAAAATAATAGTAATTTTTCGGAAGTGGAGTCCATCATATTTTCGGAAATAAAATTTCAAAAAATAGAGTTTTAGATTGTTATGAAAATTAAATTATTATGAATAAAATTAAGTTATCAAGTGAAAAAAATTCCACCTATAGAAATTGAAAAAAAATTATCAGATGTCTTCTGATTTTTATTTTATAATTATTCTATCTCACGGAAGATTTACGATACCAATCATTAAAATAGTCAATTTAATATTTTTTTTTAATTAGTTTTAAAGCTTTCAATGTCAATAAAAATTTTACGTCAAACTAAAATAGTAATTTCTACGTGTACAGTTAAAATATTGTGGACTCTTCTACTTCCAAATAATTTCTTAATTATGAAAAATTTTGTGCAGCGATTTTTTTGAAAAACAATATCAAGACTAATTGATAATTAAAATAACATGATCTTAAAGTATATTTTATATTATATAAGTAAAAATTATAGATTTTAAGGTCATATGATAAAATGATAAGTTAAATAAGATATTATGAGAAGAGTAGATATGTAGTTTTCAGTTGAAAAAGTTTAATTCAAAGTTTTTTTTCTTATATACCTACACATTCACAGTACTTCTTGACTGCTGAGAGTTAATATTTTTTTTTTGTCTCCCTAATCTAAATAATAGAGAAATATAACTTATATTTTATCTGAATATAGAGATAATTTTTAAAAATAAAAATTTATCTTAGTATTCATATGTTATTGGTTTATATTTTTTGTTATTACTTAAAACAAAACAAAGATAAAAATGTTGAACCTTGAATGACAGTCACGGACAAGAAATCATGCTGGTTTCTCTCGTCATCACACACGCACTAACAACTGAGTATAGTTTCGCTCTTGTATTTTTCAATTTTCCGTACATTCTCTCTTATTCCCTTTTTCATTAGCTCGCGCACGCTGATTTCTTGCTCTTGCTTCTGACTGTCCTCCAGAGGGGAACGAACTTGTATAGTTTTCGAATCGACACACGGAAAGAAAGAGATAATTTATAATTATAAAATTATATATTTAATTCAAATATTAAATTATCGATGTTTACTTTCAGATTTCCGTAATTTTTTTTTTTTTAATTTCAAATATTTTAGAGTTTACATTTTCAATATTAGTGTTTTCAGGTCTATTTAGTAATTTTGAGATGTATCAAAAATAAATATTTGTTAAAACTCACTAAACACACATAAATAAATGTATTTTTACTTAAGTTTATAATGAATTCGATGAATAATGATTATTTATAGTATTGATGAATATTTTATTTATAATTGTAACTTTAAAAGATGATAAAAGCGTTGCTGTTTGGTGAGAAGGTGTGTAAAATATAATTGGATGAACACATGTATATAGTATATACATGACATTCCTCGCTTATTGCGTTCGGGACTGCCGGTCGACTAGTTTAGCCACATTAAATTCTGTAAGTTGCTGAATCAAGTGTAAGATGGCAGTAGTATGAAAGTTTCTGAAAAGAATGAAATGTTTTTTCATTAATTTAAGAGAAAAGTATTGAAGATATTACAAAATTTTACAGTTTATCAAGCAAAAGAGGCTTCGATAAAAGGAGATATAGAAAATCAGTCTTAAATATTAAGTAAGCATGAAAAAAACACTTCAGTGAATTTTACCTCTCATCGCTTAGTTTAGCAGAGTAAAGAAATAAAATACTGTGCATACAGAGTAAACCTGAACTTCTTTTTTTCTGCGAAGTGATTCCGGAATGAATGTGGATTTTAATCTGTAAAACATCTGAGTACGGAGTTTTCAAATTAAAATACATTTTTTTTTCCTCAAAAAAGTTTCACATGCCAAATTTTGTATTTCATCAGTGTAAAAAAAATTCAAATAATAGTATATTGTGTGACTAGGGATGAATAAACAAAACGATTTCAGACCAGAGTGAAGTTGCCTGCCCAAGCGAATAGAAGCGAGGGCTGGCATCAGTCGGTCTGAAATCGTGTTTTATCCAGCGTCACACATTATATTTTTCATATGTTGCATTAAAAATGCTAGTTTCAATGTCTGGAGCCAACCAGAACTAGATATAATTTCAGACAAATAGCAAAAATACCATTTTATCATAAAACTTATAATAAAATAGAAAGTAATAGTATATTTTTTATTAAACATTATTCGTAAATTGAATAGTTTTCTTTTGTCATTATTATTTATGCTTGGTAACAGAATTATAATATATCAGTACAGTTAACGGTTAGAATGACAATTATAAAGGTATAAAATAAACAAACAATTGATAGAATTGAAAATAAAGCTGCAACTTCATCTCGCGGGCAGAAAATCGTCATTTTCTGTCCGCCGGGAAGAATGATTAATTCCTGCCCGGCAACAGTCGCATTGGTCTTAAATTTTCTAGTTTCGGTTGGCTCAACAGGTATTGAAACTCGCATTATCAATGTATGTTATATGAAAAATAAATTTTTTTTTACTCAAAAAAGTTTCACATGCCAAATTTTGTATTTCATCAGAGTAAAAAAAATTCATATAAACAAAATTTTTTTGTTAAAAAGTTCGAAAAAAAATTTTGTAAAACCTTCAAACTATGCAAAAAATTCAAATTTAAAAAACATTTGAATATTTCGAAATTTACCAAGAAGGTTTTTTCGATAAATTAATGAAAAATGAAAAAATTGAGATAATTAAAAATGAAAATTCTTGAGACCATCGAAATTTTGGGGTGGTATGTCTCATATGTATCTGCCGGTTATTTCAAAACTGATGGTATTGTCTTGTTAATACTTTTTGACTGAATTCAGCTTACAAAAGAAATTTATCATGAGAGTATAACTTCTTCATTTTTTTATCAATAAATATTTTCATAACAGTATATTAGAAGTAATCCCTATAATATTATGAGAAGCATTGCCATAATGTATGGAAAAAGTTTCTATAATTTTCTTTTCGTGAAAGTTATTTTTTGTATTTCATGAGTTATTTGATTGAAAAAATATTTTTAATATCTATAACGGTTTAATAATTCATTTAATAATTAACTTCGATGGCTATCAGTACAAAATCATCGCATTTACTATCTAAATTATTAATTTTATAAGTTATTATCAATAGGGAAGCCTCAGTACTTACGAGAGCTATTTATTGAAGAGACAAGTGTTAGACGCTCTAATAGACTATAGCAGAGAAAAGAAACAATGTTAATTTTAAGATGCCTAACTTTGCGACTACTTATTATGATTTTTCTTTCGTTATCAGATGCATCTGGCTGTAAGAAGAGTTACCAAGTGATTTAATAAATTCAACAAGTATTGAAATTTTGAAAAATAAAATTTATGATTACTTCTTTAATTTAGATACCCAGTGGAAATTATGTTTTCGTTTTTCTAGTTATTTTAAATAAATCTGATTGAATCTAATTAAATCTGATCATATTCTTTTCTTATTTAAGTAAAATTACTGTTTGTATTAACTATAAATTATTTAAAAATTTATTTACATAATTATAATAGATAAATTATTTTAAAACTTTATAAAATTACTCAACCTTTTTAACTTTTATATAATTTTTTGTATAATTTACCATTTAGCCGATTGGGTTTGGCATAAATAAAAAATTTATTTATCTATTTATCTAATATTAGTGGCACATTAATGTAACACGATCATCGGCCAACCATTGTACCTCATTGATTGGCCAACCATCGGCTGAATGACTGGCCGATTGTACTACTGGTGACTAAGAGCCAGTTTTTCAACCCGGGGTTTTTATTTAACCAGAGTTTGTAACGATAGCAAAATATTGAATAAACATTAAAATAGTACTGTTACTATGGTTACAAACTCGGGTAAAATGATAGCCCTGGGTTGAAAAACTGGCCCTTAGATGCGGGAATCATTTGCCAATCGTCGAACATTAGTGGTCCAATTTTGGTTTTTCGATCATCGGCTAACTATGGTAAGCCATTCATCATCGACCAGTCATTGGCTAAGTTGTAATATCTCTCGCGATTCCTGTACTAGGGGAAGGTGGCCTAAAGCGGGTATGTTAACGTTAAGAGCCGAGAAAATTTAGTGTTTGTATGATAACAATGATGATTTTTTTTTTTTGATAGAGGATTTATCGAATTTTAAAATTAATAAGCAATATTATATAAATTTGTATTAATTTATGATTTATTATTAAAATTGAAAAACACTCCCAAAAACCGCTTTGCTCTAGAGGGGGGCCTAAAACGGTTAATCCGTTCGGGCAAAGCGGATTGGCACTACAATTAAGGCCAGGTTACTCCAAAAAACGTAATTTTTTTCAATACATTTTATTTATAGTACAAAACATGTTGAGTAATCAATTTTTTTTACATATGAAAGCACATATATGAAATTACTTGAAAAAAAAGTTTTTTTTTTTTTTTTCAAAATGGTGGTACTGAAAATGACTGCTGAAACTCATCTGATTCGTAGATGGATGACATCATTTCTTGGAAAAAAATTATCTGAAAGCAAAAAACAAAACGGTTTCATGTTCTGTATCGAATTGGCTATGGCCCGAAGCAGAACTAGAAACATTCATTATTATTTAAAAAAGTT